AGAACAAAATAAAGGAAAAAAGGGGACTATAAACAAAATAGCTAAGCCTGGGAGTGATGCTTTTTAGTCTTGGAAGTGGAGCTGCAAGGATTTCTATGCATATAGAAGTGTAGGAGTGTGTAAACATTGTACCCACACTTGGACAAATAAAAAAATATTCATAGAGATCTTAAATAAATTAAGAAAATAAAAATAATACCAAAAAGGTCTTAAGATATAGCCTTTCCGAAAACTTAAAAGCGACTTTTAGAATTTATTTTTAAATAAACAAATTTCACAAACTTTATAGGGGGTTTCTTTATTTTGAAACCTTCAATAAAATCTCGGAATTATTTTTGTAAAGTTTCTCAAGCACTCTGTCTGAAAAATCGTTCAATTCCTTTCAGTTCTTTTCCCAGACTCTAACATTGTTTTAAGAGTTTATTAGTTTAATTTGGAAAATAGCGTTTTGTTTGAAACACCAATTGAATTTGAATTTCGCGACGCACACTTTGCGAAGCTAATCTAACCCTTGAGTTTCCTTCGACGACAGTTATCCTTTCTCCGTTTTTTATACTGCAGACTACAGTGCTCGGAAATTAGCTGAGAACCACCCGCGGCGCGTTGCAATGCAATTTATGTTGATTAGTTTGCATCTTGAAGTTGAATCCGAGCTTAATGAATGAATTGTGCGAACTGTGAAGCTCGACGGGGGCTGGAGTGGAGTGGCAGATTGGATCAATGGTGGGGACACGGGGCAGCTATTTGTTGTCAGACAGATCCAGTTTTTTTTTTATCCACTCTGGAGCAACTTCTAAATCCGCTTAGCAACTTTATAATTAGCCCATGTTGACGTTTGTAGGCGTCGTTGTCGTCGATGGGTGGAACACAAAAAAGCGATTGGCTTGGAAGGTTCTTTTCGGTCTTTTCGATTGCCGTGATTGCATAATCTCTGAGCTTGGACAGTCGACGAAAACGAGACAACCGGAAACGAGGGAGAAGGAGTCGGTGCCGTAGCCATAGAAGGAGAGGCAGACGTAGCCGTAGCCGTAGCCAGAGTCGGGAAGCAGTAAAAAATCAATGAAAATAAATCACCGAAAACCGTGCGGCAGACTCGAGTCAATTTTTTGCCTTTGCCACAGACAAATGCCACGGCACTTGACTCGGCACCCGGCCCCAATGTGATTTGATCCTATTTCAGGGGCGTCGAGTATCTTATAAAAAATAAGAAATACTTTTTAGTCATTTAAAAAAAAGATTACAAAATTAATACTCACATAGAAATCCTAGATCTTATACTTTTTTTTAATTGTATTTTGTTTTAAATACTTTAAGACTACTCCCATGTGCGGAATCGCCTCTAATCGTATCGTTAAATTGATTAATTTCTTTATTTGCTCACCCGCTGGAAATTGTGGTCGCCTTCTCGATTTGAGATTGAGGAAAAGACTTCTAAGGGGGTTTTCTTTTGCATTCCAGAGACTAGGAAAATTTTGATTAAAGAAAACTACAATTGGAAAAACGTCTTTAATTTTCTTCGTTGTTTGAAGTCGTTATTTATTCTGGTATTTCAAGTTTAAATTTGACTATATTTGTTCTGTTTGCAAAACATTTTTGGTTCAAAGCCCCCACTACCCCTTTCTAAATATATACATCCATATACGCCTTCCGGGCTCGTCGGCGCATATTTTGATTTTGGCTTCAACGCCGATTTTGATGGATTAATGGGGCTGGGCGACATTTGTTGTCAGTGTCGGCATCTTGGCGTCAAACAAAGGCGTGGTCATGGCTAATAGCCGGGACAGGAGGGCAGGGGGCGTGGTCGTCAGCGATTTGCTTCGGCTCGTTTGTCTTAGCCAGTGGGAGTTTCGATGGGACGGCAATTACGTATCCGCCCTGTGTGCACTCCATTCATTCAATGCGGAAAGGTGATTATACGCTCGGGGTTTCTCTAATTTTGATCGATAGGCCAGTACAACAAATATTGATGCTAAATTGGTTAAGAATATTGAATGAGTTCCTGTTGACAGCACAGAGAAAAAAAATGCATTAAAAGTTATGATTTTTATGGCTTATGGTAGTTTGGTATACTTTAACTATTATTATTATTTTTAAAAGTATAATTTTGTTTAAATCCATATGGAATTTTTCATCACCGAAATTGTTTTTATCAAAAGTTTCTTTATAAATTTAATTTAAATTTAAAAAATAAGAGAAATACCTATCACCCATTGTCCTATTTTCTCTTCCTGCATCAAGAACTATAGAACTTAAAACTTGAAGGAGCTTTGCACCTGGACGAGCTTTCCATGTGAGCGGTCTGCTCAATGACCAAAGTCGGAGACTTGCAGAAAATGTTTACGTTCGGGCATTTGTGTGATTCTTGTGCAAATTGTCTGTGAAAACTGGCATGGAGTGCTCCAGAAACGACTTCGGCTACTGGCTCTGGCTCTGGCATTTGCATTTGAGTTTGAATTTGACTGTTTTCCAGGAATTTTGCAACCTCCCACCTCCTCTGGCATTGATTTCGTTTTCCATATAAGTACGAACGAGTGTACGTACGAGTGTACGTATGTAATCGTATGAATATACGTCTTCCTTTTCCTCTACTTCCGATCCTATCCTATTTCCACCTCTCTCTTCCGGACAGAACACACACACACACTCAGCGATGCTCACTTCGCCAGCGCCAACTAAAAATGCATTTCCTGTCAAGTGTAAAAAGGAAATGATGTGATGCTCTCCGGCTTTAACGTGCAATCAATCATTGCCGTGCCCGGATTTTCACACACACACACCCTCGTCGCACACCCATTGCGGTGGCAAAGTCAACGAAGGCGGGTTTATTAAGTCTGGCAAATAGTGTTAAGTATTTGTCGAATGTCAAATGCCGGGCGTCCTTTTGCCTTTTCCTGGTTTAGTTCTGGATTTCCTTTCTCCGCCATCCTGGCCAGCCGCAGATAGGATTTTAATTGCCACGCCGATAGGCAAGTGACGTGTTAGTCCTTAAATCTTGAGTCCTGACGGGTAAATACTACATTTTATTTGGTGTTGATGTGTCATTTCCGTTTTCGCGGTGGCTCCTCAATTAGAGCATGAAAGGGACTTTATTTCCACTATGAATTCCGGTAACCCTTAGGAAAAAATGGGTATACAAATTCAAATTTTTAAAGCATATTAAGTTTCAATTAAACTCCTGGAACCAAAGTAATAAAAAGAAAGTAACTTTTTAATCTATTTAAATCCAAATATTTTGAATCAAATTTCAAATGAAAACATTCTTCTATAAATATGCAGTTTGGTAAGTTAAAATATTCCAACTTGAATATGCCAAAATATTTCCACTTGATCCGTGCCTAAGCTCTTTGAGGACGTGTCCTGGGGCACTCTCGGCTCTAAGAGGGTTAAGGCAGTAGGCAGGTGGTATCGTTCCTCGGCCCCTGGAGTGCCATTCTCCGTTGGCAGACTTTTCAAGTTCAAGCATGTGATATATGCATATATCTTTGCCTCTCCCTTAGCCGGTCTGAACAATGTATATGTGTCTCTTGTCTGCCTACGCATCTTGATGGCTTCGGGCTACGTGTCCGGACGCTGTAATCGGATGTTTATGGCCCACAGCCACCTCACGGACGCTCCACGCTCCACGCACTTTCAATTTTGTTTGCTTCTGTCTCCGGACGGATGGATGGACGGACGGACGGAGTCATTGAACGGCGATCTTGCGGGGCAGTAGGCTCATAATAGACCAGCGGGTTCCTTGAGGGCGCTTAATTACATCGATTCGCGGCGCTCAAATGAGTTGACAAAAAAATGAGTGGTTTTGAGTGGAATTTTTGGAAGAAAAGCCTTTTGGGTCAACCTTCAGTTCTATGGCGGTATTAATTAAGACCCATTCTGCTTCAGTTGGAAGCATTACAATTCTCTCCCAAAAATAAAAAGGCCACCGGGCCTGCAATTAGTAATCCGATTTGGAAATCAAAAGACTGAATTTTTATTTCGCCAAATTCGTGAAACTGTGCCAATGTCTGCATGTGGGGCACTCCACCCATCCACGGACATAAAGTAAACACCAAATGGAGCAATAATAAATTTTCTAAAACCCCAAAGAAAGAAAGAAATAACCGATGAAAAAACTAAAAATCATGCAGCCAATGTAGCAAACGCTGCTGACATACAAAGATGAAGTGGTGCCTGGAGGTGGTGGCGGTGACGAGCGGATCGCGTTGACAAGTCACCTATATCAGGAGCTGGAAGAGAAGAGGGTTGACTAGAGGTTGGCAGAGGGTGTTGGGTAGCTCTGGGGCAACCTGACAATCCGTTGGCAGCAAATTTTGCGCTCCATTGGCGCGGGCATGTCGCCAAGAAAAACAAAAAAAATGATTGTCAAGTGGTGTGAACTCCAGCTCCGTGTTGTAATGTCTGCACGGGTCTCTGAATCAAAATCTGAATAAAGGAGTGGTGACAATTGAGAAGTTAATTGAACAACGCTCAAATCGCAATTAATTACGAGCCGACAGTAGGCCTACAAGGAAGCGCAAACTGCGCTGAACTTGACATCGAAACTTCGGAGGAAAAAAACGAAACCAAAATTGAAACTGAAACCGAACCGAAACCAAAACCGATATAATAACCGTAGCACAAAAAAGACAAATTACCAGAAACCTGTTTTGGAGCCGCAATTGTCAAATTGTCAACTGAGATACTTTTGTACTTGTTACCGGTTTGCTCTTCGGCCTGGGAGGGCGCCAGTACCATTGCCAGGGCCAGAGCCAGTACCAGTACCGCCTTCTGGCCAGCTAATTCTGACGCCCCTTATAAAGTGCCAGGCACCGGGAGTGGTCACCATCATTAAGTCGCCGCAGCTCGCAGTGCCAAGAGTCGAGGACACCCACGCCGGACTCCGAGCCCCAAACGGATATAGTCTTCAGTCTCCAATTTCAGATAGAGCTTCCTGAACGGCACGTGCCTTCATTCCCTCTGTTCGAGTAATCCAAAGCAAAGGAAGTAACTCCTCGTTGACAATGGCAGGCAAAGTAAGTCGTCCATTTTATTTCACACAAAAAATAGGGTCGAATTTTTATTACTTTTCTTTTTAAATGAATTTTAAAAATAATAAATTCAAAAATCTGACAAGTAACTCAAGGTATTTTTTGGCATTTGAGTAAAATAATAATATGAATTTAAATTTACAAAAAATAGAAAATGTTTAATATTTTTTTGTGGATTTATTATATTGATAGCTGAAATCATGATACAATTATAATTGTATCATGGCTGAAATATTTTGGTAAAGTTGTAAAATATATTTAAATTTTAAAACATTCTACTGAGTCATGGTCTTGGGTGACTTAGTTTTTTGGATAAAAGATGAGAATCTGACAATACTACTTTGAAATTAAAACATTCTTTTTAACTAATATCTTTGTATCTTTTCAGTTCCTGACAGTCTTCTCTCTTCTGGCCATTGCTGGCTCTTGCTGTGCAGGATTCGCCGCTACCTACGCCGGCTACCATCCAGCTTATGCCACTTATCAGGCTCCAGCCGTCTACCATGCCGCTCCAGTTGCTCAGGCTCCAGCCGTCTATCATGCCGCTCCTGTTGCCCAGGCTGCTGTCTACCACCAGGCCGCTCCTGTCCTGGCCAAGACGGTGTTGCCAGCTGCTCCCGTTTACACCAAGTCATATGCCCTGCCCTCTCCCTTTGTGAAGACGGTGGCCGCTCCTCTCGCCCTCCCAGTTGCAGCTGCGGTGGTTAAGACTCTGGCTGCTGCTCCAGTGGTGGCTGCTGCTCCCGTTGTGAAAACCGTGGCTGCCGCCCCTGTTCTGGCTGCTGCTCCTCTGGTTAAGCAAGTGGAGCTGGAGTCCTCACCAAGGTACGACTTCTCCTACGGAGTTCACGACAGCATCACCGGAGACATTAAGAGCCAGGTAGAGACCCGTGACGGCGGCAACGTGGTTGGCTCCTACTCCGTCCTGGATGCTGATGGATACAAGCGCACGGTCACCTACACCGCCGACGACATTAACGGATTCAACGCAGTGGTCCAGCGTGAGCCTGTGGTGGCCGCTCGTGCCGTTGCTGCTTCGGTGATTCCGGTGGCTGCTCCTGTGGCCCCTGTTTCCGTCCCCGTCCCCGTTCCCGCTCCTGCTCCCGTGGCCTCTTTCTCTTCGCCGATCTACTATCCCCAGCAGCAGGTGTTTGCTCCTCAGGAAGTCCAGCAGCAGCAGCAGCAGGGAGAGGTTGTGGAGGCTCCCGCCGCCACCCAGCCCGAACTAGAGCCCACGCCCGTTGACTACAACGAGGAGCAACAGCAACAGGAGCAGCAGCAACAGCAGGAGCAGAGCTATCCCCAGGATCAGCAGTTCCCGCCCTACTCGCCAGCCTCCCCCGTTGCCGATAGCGATGATTCCGATGTGGTGGAGGCACGATCCGCTCCCGAAGCCAGCAGCACCACCTCCACCACGGCCGCACCCGCGCCAGTCACCGAGGAGGAAACCAAAAAGACGGCCTAGATAGCGATACAAACTGACGATTAAAATGCGAAAATAAACTCAACAAATGTACAATATAATTGATGGAATTTTACTGGAATGGTTTGAATGTGGGAATTTTTTAATGCCAAAAGTTAATTAAAAGATGCTTAAATTCAAATGCGCACAATTAATTTAATTAATTCCCTTAAGCTACGCATGAAAACATATCATGAGGCTTAAGCCATAATAGCGTAATAATAAGTTAGCAAATAAACAAAAAAATATGTTTTTCCGTCAAACTTATTCAGAATAATAACAACTAACTGAAAAAGAACTCTTTTTTAAGGGCTTTCCATAAATACAATGGATTTTAAATAGCATTAACCTGACATTATTTTGCATTTATTGCATTATTATTGATAAACGATTAAATGGTATTTGTTCAATGATATGTACTTATCAGGACGAGAAAAAAGTTAAAAAATAAATGGTGATTCAGTTGAATTCCACTTTTTTTTGTTTTTAAAATATAGGGAACTGGATAAGAATCGGGGAAAATATAGCCATCACTGTGGGCCATATAGAGGAACACCCCATTCTATCACGAAAAATGAACAAAAAATCGAAAAAATATTTTTTCTCAGGATTTTAATGCAGAATGGTGGCGAATCGATCCAGAAATCGTTTAAGGGACTCCGCTGGAGAATCGGATAAGAATTGGGGAAGATATAGCCATTACTGTGGACCCTATAGGGGAAAACCGAATTTTCAAGTGATCCTATCACGAAAAATGGACAAAAAATCGGAAAAATATTTTGTCTCAGGATTTTGATGCAGAATGGTGGCGAATCGATCCAGAAATCGTTTAAGGTACTCCGCTTGAGAATCGGATGAGAATTGGGAAAGATATAGCCATCACTGTGGACCCTATGGGGGAAAACCGCATTTTCAAGGGATCCCATCACGAAAAATGGACAAAAATTCGAAAAAATATTTTGTCTCAGGATTTTAATGCAGAATGGTGGCGAATCGATCCAGAAATCGTTTAAGGTACTCCGCTTGAGAATCGGATAAGAATAGGGGAAGATATAGCCATCACTGTGGGCCACATAGGGAAAAACCCCATTTTCAAGGGATCCCATCACGAAAAATGGACAAAAAATCTAAAAAATATTTTGTCTCAGGATTTTAATGCAGAATGGTGGCGAATCGATCCAGAAATCGTTTAAGGTACTCCGCTTATGCTTTTAATTATATATGTAATAAAAAGTTTTTAAATACAAAAGTCGGTAATATTAAGATGAGTGGCCGCACTTTTCATACGAATTGTAGCGACCTCTTGCGGAGGTGTTGCTGAGGTAAAATGGTATGAAGATCAGAGGCATTCCTAAAGCTATAATTTTACTTTACATAAACATTAATAATTGTCAACCATAGTTTAACTAATAATTTAAATTAAAAAAACGTCGGTATATGTATTTTTCGTTTATATATAATTATCTCGTCAACTAATGTAAAGAACCAGATGCTGCATAAAATACCAGAAAGTCCCTGCTCTCGATAACCGATTTTCGATAGACGCATTCTTATCGCATTTGATTTGAATAAAACGGTGAAACCTGGACGCTTAGTAGGCCTTGGAATAAGATTCGCATTCATTTTCATTATCATTGTCGTTCGGGTTCACAGTATCCCAGTTGAATCGGTGATTTCGTCGTTAACACATCTAACAAAATTCCAGTCCTCGTTTTTTGTAGTAGAGACATGAAAAAATAATAAAATTTTGGTGTTTTTTTTTTGTGAATTTTATTTCTAAAAAAAAAAAGCCGGCACACATATACTTGACTACACAAGAAGGTAAGTAAATTACATCCGTTCTTAAGAGTCCCTCGGCAAGTACCGCGTTTCCCCAGCATCATTCGCCGTCCCCTCGCACCTTATTCGTACCTTTCCCCGCGTTGCCTCTCCTTTTTCTGCACGCTGTAAATGGCGCCAAGGCAGCTGTTGCTTTGTTGTTGTTGCCAAGACCGGTGTCGAAAAGGGACAAAGAATATTCTGGATACTGATTGCAGCCCTCCATTTTCCACTTCCAGTTCTTCACCTTGTCATCGCAGCACACCGATATTGCCGTCAAATTTGAAAGAAAAAAACCAAAACACATCCAATATGAATAAAGCGGATTCAAACTCCCGTCAGGGATCGTACAAATCCAACACCATCAACACTCAGGTAAGCTCCATGGCAACCGCCGAGGACTCTATCCGTTCGTGGCTAACCTCAATCCGCCGTAGGACTCGCGCATGCGTCGCCATGAGGTGACCATAGAACTGCGCAAGTCGAAGAAGGAGGATCAGATGTTCAAGCGGCGAAACATCAACGACGAGGATCTCACCTCGCCCCTCAAGGAGCTGAATGGGCAGTCCCCGGTACAGCTATCGGTGGACGAGATCGTGGCGGCGATGAACAGCGAGGACCAGGAACGCCAGTTCCTGGGCATGCAGTCCGCCCGCAAGATGCTCAGCCGCGAGCGCAACCCGCCCATTGATCTGATGATTGGACATGGCATCGTTCCCATTTGCATTCGCTTTCTACAGAACACCACCAAGTGAGTTGTTATTAATGCTTTGTATTCCCGGGCAGAAGTAGTAGAAGATCCGCTCTTTCAGCACCATGTTGCAGTTCGAGGCCGCCTGGGCTCTCACCAACATTGCCTCCGGCACCTCCGACCAGACCCGCTGTGTCATAGAGCACAACGCCGTACCGCACTTCGTAGCTCTGCTCCAGTCGAAGTCGATCAATCTGGCCGAGCAGGCGGTCTGGGCTCTGGGAAATATTGCCGGCGACGGCGCCAGTGCCCGCGACATTGTTATCCATCACAACGTGATCGATGGCATTCTGCCACTGATCAACAACGAGACTCCACTCTCTTTTCTGCGCAACATCGTCTGGTTGATGTCGAATCTGTGCCGCAACAAGAACCCGTCGCCGCCGTTTGAGCAGGTGCGGCGTCTGTTGCCAGTCCTATCGCAACTGTTGCTCAGCCAGGACATCCAGGTGCTGGCCGACGCCTGCTGGGCCCTGTCCTATGTCACCGACGATGACAACAACAAGATCCAGGCAGTGGTCGACTCTGATGCCGTGCCACGCCTGGTGAAGCTACTTCAAATGGATGAACCAAGCATCATAGTCCCAGCTCTTCGTAGTGTGGGCAACATTGTGACTGGAACAGATCAACAGGTAAGAATATTTTACAAAATGAATAAATGGTTGGTCCCATTTCCCTGGCTCGTTTACCTGCAACATGTATAATTCCTTTCCCCAGACTGATGTGGTTATTGCCGCCGGAGGATTACCCAGACTGGGTCTTCTCTTGCAACACAACAAGAGCAACATTGTCAAGGAGGCAGCCTGGACAGTCAGCAACATCACGGCTGGCAATCAAAAGCAGATTCAGGCCGTCATCCAGGCTGGCATCTTCCAGCAGCTGCGCCATGTGCTGGAGAAGGGCGACTTCAAGGCCCAAAAGGAAGCGGCTTGGGCTGTGACCAACACCACCACATCTGGCACTCCCGAGCAGATTGTGGATTTGATTGAAAAGTTTAAAATCCTTAAGCCATTCATTGATTTACTGGACGCCAAGGATCCGCGCACCATCAAGGTGGTCCAGACCGGTCTCTCCAATCTTTTCGCTCTGGCCGAGAAGCTGGGCGGAACCGAGAACCTGTGCCTAATGGTCGAAGAGATGGGCGGCCTGGACAAGCTGGAGGCGTTGCAACAGCATGAGAACGAAGAGGTCTACAAGAAGGCCTATGCCATAATAGACACCTACTTCAGTAACGGCGACGACGCGGTTGAGCAGGAGCTGGCCCCCCAGGAGGTTAACGGGGCCCTCGAATTCAGCACCACCCAGCCCAAGGCCCCCGAGGGTGGCTATACCTTCTAGGCTGCTTACACCTTCGGACCCCACTCACCTCGCTCTATTGCCTGGTACACACTTACACACATCCTTGCACTCATACCATACCCTTCCACTCGCATGTTCAAATCCCTGACCATAACTGCGACCGCGCTACCACAAGTTTAATATTTAGTCACTAACTATGCCATTGTCATCGAAAACGGGGCCAGCATAGACACTAAAAACCCGCACACTTTCGTACACTTGGAGGCATGCATGGCTAGACACAGGCTGATGCATTTGCTTAGATAATATTTACCACTTCACCTTAGATCACTGACTGCGTCGGGTCAGAAAAGATATTCCTAAACTCGAAACTCGTTAATCCCACCCCACCGTTGCACGAATCGTTCAGTTTACACTAAACCGGCCAACCGCTACTGTGGCTACATTTCACGTGTGATAAATTTCGGGCTATGCCACGCAGCACGGATATATGGAGTACTTTATTTACCTCGTTTCAACTGCAACCAACCCCGGCAGCTGTGCTGTGCGGGGAATGGTTGCCTACTCCATGATCCGTATGTGCTGGCATCCAGCCCCCTTGTATGTGTGTGCTAGGCTTTTTTTCATTGAAATCTTTTAGAGCACAATTTGGTTATATTTTAGGCTGTTAGCAATTATTTATGTATACTACACAGGTACTGATTTTAATCCTCCACCTCACGCAAGCATTACAACAACCACCAACACAAACCCATCAAATCAGTTGGGTCCTCATCCTCGTATCGTAATATAATGTTCAATAAATAATGAATTGTTTGAATGATTTAATATCTTTGTTTACCAATGTATCACCTGGATGGGGGTAGAATTTTAAATAATATTTGGAACTTTAAAAGATGTAAGTTCAGTAAATAATAGTTTTATTCTTTAAATAATAAACCATCTCTATTATTATTGGTTCAGCGAACTTTCGGAAGCAACTCACAGCAGCGGCGACCCCAATCTGAATTGGTTCAGATTAGATAAAAATGATTAAACAATGGGTACGGGTAACAGAACGCGCCTCTCATATAATTCAATTGGCATTAGCATCAGCATCCGCGTTCATTGCAGCCGTCCAGCACAAGAACAAATAGCCTACTATATAGTTGAAGAAACATATATACGAACGTCACCGCCGATAAACACATCAGTGCTCATTTCAGCCTGGCACCCGCCGAGTGCACCAGCCGAGAGAGTTCGCCGGAAAGTCTGTGTAAATTCACGGCAAACAAATTATAAAAATAGAAAAAAAATTTAGCATCCGAAAAGTAGTTGCCGAATATCCGAAGCATTGGCCGGACGGAGCTTTTCTGGTGTGGTCCCGTATAGTCCCATAGCCAGTGTCGTCATCGATGGAGCGGGCGTGAGCAAGTGGCGGAAAGCGAATTAAATTGGTTTCTTTTTCAATTCTTTTATTATTTTCGAGCGCGAGCGTTTAGTCGAATTCTGTCCGAAGCTGCGTGCGGGCGTGGGTCTCTAAAGACTATACAAAATTTATATAATTACCGATCTTGTTCCGAGTGAATATTAAAAAGTGCCCTTAAAGTTTTTGCAATTTTTGCCAAAAAGGTAAACTCCTAATAGAAAAAAATAATTATTTTATTCGCGAGAAATCAAAAGTGATGATACGAATCTTTACCATATGGATATTATTCTACGAATCGGGGGAAAAACAAACTATTGTTGTTGATGATGCCACTTGGAAAACGATTCTGTGACCTCATACGCTTCAATGAAAATCCAGTGCGGATATTCTGCCACTCCGGCTGCAGTCTAATCTTTAAAAATACAAGAAAAATCCCCAATACTGTTGACAAACTCATGATGTAGTTAATTTCGAATAGAAAAAAAACAACAAAAAATTGGCACACCAAAAATAAACAATAAACATGTAGCAATAGGGGCATTGCTACTTTATAGCCATGTTGGTGTAGGCGGGTGGCGGTGGCGACGTCGATGGCAATGGCGGTTCTTGCGATTTTAAAGCGGAAAATAGTTTTTTGTTTTCCAGTTTTTTGGGGGTTGGGGGGTGCAGCATTTTGTTTGTTGATGTGGCAATTAAGTGCGCAAGTGTGCGCGTCGCATTTAAATCCGCATGCACCATAGCCCCATAGCATTCATACTACATCCATATATAGTATATACAAATAGGGGGATTGCCTCCCCAAAAACGGAGACGGCAACCGAAATTCGCGCAAAATTAAAAGTTCCCGCAAATATATAGCCACAGCACTGTCACAAAGTTTTCCGCCTCGGCGTTTCCGCTTTGTTTACTTGCCGAAAATAGTGTCAAGTTTGGCCCACTGAGCGCTCTCTTGTTCACTTTATTTGTTCAAGGCGTTTTCTATTGTGTGTGGGGTGTGTGTTTGGGTTCTAGCCTGGCCAAATGAAATGGAAGACAATTTACATTTTCATTACAAAATGCACTTCAAGGGCCAAGGTGAATCTAAATAGAATTTAATGTATCTCTTGGCTTTTATTTAATATTATATTTTCGCTTTCCTTAGAGGCATATGGCCAAGTTTATATTGTTGCTCGTAAATCGCCAACACACATGTGTTTTGCATTAAGCCGAAGGGCAATTTTATGCTAAGCAAGTGCTTTTTGATAGACTAAACCATGTGGAAACTATAGCATCACGCCTATAAATTCTTAAGGCACATTATGACAGATTTTATAAATTAAAGATTTTCTAAAATGTGTCTGGAGGTGCTAAATTCTAAAAAAAAAAGAACATCCACTACAGCTTATATTTCATCCTTAATAACTCAACAGGATTAAATAGAAACATCTCTGGCCAACAAAGTCCAGAATGAGTGAAGTCCCGAACTCAACTATCCCCGCCCATGATTCCAAACTTGGGGCCGAGATCTTTCACAGCATATCTAGTAGCTTCGCCGATCAGAATGTGGTCATATCCCCACTCCTGTTGGAAGCCACTCTGGCCCTACTCTACCTGGGATCCGATGGAGCCACCGCTGAGGAGTTACAGAAGCTGTTGCGATTGAAGGAACGCTTCCCCAGCAACGCCAAAATGGCCAACTTCTTTGCCTCCGAACTGGCCAACATCACAGGAGATCCGGATACTAGAATTCAGCTGAGGAATCACTTACTTGTCCAGCCTTCTGCTGGTGCGGGATCTGGCATAGCTGAGGACTTCCAAAAGATTGCCCAGACGTATTTCCATGCCACAGCCGAAAGCATCGACCTGGAGCAGACGGAGAAGCTGCGACGCCATATCACCGAACAGATTCTTTCCGCCGTAGGAGGTGGCAGTTGGCAGCAACTCCAGGTGGAGGGCAGTCCTCTGGCCAAAATTCTGCTCCTGCTGGCCGCGAATCTCCAGAGCAAGTGGTTCCTTCCCTTTAGTGCCTACAGAACGGGACTGTACGAATTCCACAGTGGCAGTAATCCGGAGCAGGCCAAGTCGGTGGCCATGCTCTTCGACGACGACATGTTCGTAAAGTTCGCAGAGCTCCGAGATCTGAACGCCCGCGCCATCGAACTGCCCTACGAGCACGCCGAGGAGCTGTCCATGCTGCTCATCCTGCCTAACCAGCGTGATGGCCTGCCAGAGCTGGAGAAGCAGCTGCGTAGCCAGGACCTGGGTGAACTGCAGCAGAGGATGCAGATGGAGGGAGTGCAAGTTCTGCTGCCCAAGTTCAGCATCGATTTCGAGTGCAGTCTCCGCCAGCCCTTGAAGCAGGTCAGTGAAAGTGAAGGAGTGCTATTTTGAAATCTTTTATTTTATAAAAACATATATTTTTCTTTACAGTTGGGCTTTGAACAGATATTTTCGGCTTCGGCGGACTTTAAACACTTGCATCCAACTGGCAGCCTGCCAGTGGCGGATGTTCTCCAGAAGCTGCGTATAAATTTAAACGAGTCTGGCTCCGGATCTGAACAGCCCCGGGTGGCAGCAGGTATTCCAATCCTTTTATATCCTTAAAACAAATAAAAACATCAGGATTGCTTTCAGAATACAAGCCCATTGTGATCAGCAATTCCTCCCGCCAGAAATTCTTTCGAGCCGACCATCCATTTTTCTTTGCCATTCGGAGCGAGAATGTGACCTACTTGATGGGTCACGTGGTTGGATTTTAAATAAATCCCAGAGAACATCCTGGAATGCTCACTGGCCAATGGGAGTTTCTGTAATATTTCGAAATTTATCATAAAAATAAGTAATTTATAATTCATACGTAATAAACATGTGAAGATTGGATTTTTCGTAAGTACTTTATGTGGCTTTGGCAGATAATCATTTTATCATCAGAGTCATCTTTACAATAAATTGAGCTGCCCTCGAGCGAGGCTGATTTCCTTGGGTCCTTTGTCCTGATTGACAGATAAAAAAAAAACCCCCAGCAAGTGCCTACACAATTGAATGGAAATCCGATTTGAAAGGAATTATGTCCCAGAATCCATTAAATGACACATTTTTCATTGATTTTCTAACAAGAGTCTTGAGTTTATTTAAAGATATATCTGTATAATATATTTATTTTGTTCCAGAAATAGTCCTGTTATGTTTGTAAGTTTTACAATTATTGTATTTTGAATGTTTTTTTTTTTTTTCTTGAGTTCTTAATGGGCTTAATTTTGTTGTATCTCTAGGAAACTTTAAATAGAATCAAAAACTTTGTCACACCCGTTCGGGGCTCTCGCTCTTTAATTTTTGTCTTCTGCATAATATAGGCTTTTTGTAAATCTAGCTAAAAAGTTACCTTTAGTTTAAATTCTTTCATTTTGTTTACAAATATGCAATGACATAAATTTTAAATTTGTATTTTTAATTTAAGTATATATGGTTGTAGGAGTGATTGGTGTCCAAAACACTTTAAACATTAATGGGGAACTTAAACATTAAATAAAGACTGGACTTGAACTCAGTTTTTAGTTGGATTTAATTAATATCTAATGCATATGAATATTCACAGAGTTTCCTACTGTAGGGTTTTGCTTTGGTTTTCTTCTATTTTTGATTTACATTTATTTACAGATCCTAACAAGAAAAGAAGCCTCTTAAATGCATCTTAGTGTCGGTCAATGAACCTCAGCCCGAATGCTATTGCTATTGTTTCTGCTGACCACCGTCCTCGCTGCCGGTAGGTCCTGGGGGCGGCACTCCTCCTGGCACCCCCCATCCCCGGCATCCGACCTATTCAGCAGGTAGTCCAGATCGAGGGTGATGCGATCCAGGGTCGCATCGTTGCCACCAACCCCTCCTCCACTCTGGGTGGCAGTGGGTGTGGCGGCGGTTGTGGTCGCCGTGCTGGTCACCGTTGATGTGGAGACCACAGCCGCCACCATGGTGGGCAGCAAGGGGTCGAATGTGGTGCGGGAGGTGGGCTCCAGGATGGTCACACGCTTCTGCGTCTTGGGTGTTTGCGTCGGTAAGGACATTGTGGGTAGTGTCGATGTTGCCGCACCACTCAAGTTGCCGCTTATGGTGGGAGGCGGCGGCATGCTCAGGATTAGGGGGCTGGGCACAAAGTCCACGTAGGGATTATGCTGCAGGGGAACGTAATGAGAAGTAGTGGCGGCTGTTGGCATCATTGCACTGCTGTGAATTCCAATTATACTATCTGGGGAGTACAAATAGGGGAGAGAAAGGGGCATATATCAGACACAGGATCATTATTAATTCAAGCTCATTTCCCTGCATGCTGGGTGATTCTATTTATATGTTAATATATTGATTTTACACAATATTTTACACTTAGTTGGAGCTATATCTCAATTTAGGATTTAGTAAAATATGCTAATCCTTAAATTCTTAAAATTCACTTTTAAGATTAAAGTATTATTCACTTTATAACATACCTGCTGCCACGCCCTGTAGTATGTCGAGTGTCTCAACGCCCACAAACTCTCCACATGGTCCCGTACGGTAATGTGTCGGCTGCTGATGCAGCGTCCTTCTGCCCAGGCTTCCTGTGAGCCCACCCACGCCCATGCCCATGCCTACGCCCATCCCCATGCCCATGGTGTATGCATCGTAAGCAGTTCCTCCGCCCAAAATGGCACAGCAACGGGTGTCCGGCGAGGGGGCCACGGACAGGGGCAGTGCCTGATGATGGTCGCCAAGGAAGGTCTCCGCCGCAGCAGCTGCCTCTGCCACAGTCGCCGCCTGGCAACGCGGCGCCGTGGAGATGATTGTCAGCGGCAACTGAACCCCGGACACCGGTGCTCCGGACAGCTCGAGGCCCACCTTAGCTTGGAGGGGCGGGGCACCGGCTGCGGACGAGGACAAGGATCCGGCTGTTACCGAGGACGAGTGTCCTGCATTTGACATTGACAACGTGATGCCACAGTCGTTCTCCTTCTCCTTGTCGTGATTGGTGTAGACTGGAAAGAGGCAAAAGGATTGAGGATTAGGATTAGAACAGCCCAGAGTCTCGGGGTCTGCGTACAGCTAAGTGGACTGTTGACGTTCGCCGTCGTTGTCGTCGTGGTGGTGGTGCAGTAGTTCTCATCCAGGCTGCTCCTGCTCGTGGTGAACTTGGCCTGCTTGAGGGAGCTGTTCTGGCTGCTTCCGTTGCTCCCGAGGAACGGTGGGCCACGCAGCTGGCTCTCCGCCTTGATGACAAAACAGAAGAGGATGGCCGAGCCCTGTGGAAGATGCAGAGCAGAGGAGGGTGTGATTGAGTCATTTTCATGATTGAGGCATAAACTGCCAGCCCAGCTGACCCTGTCGACCCTAATAAAATTCTTATGTCAACCGGAGCACGGGTCAAGTGTTCGATTGAGCCATTAAGAAGACCGGCCCCGAAGCCGGCCCCTTTTCGATTTCGGAGCAGGTGATGGGCCCTAATCCCCGCCGACATGAAATCAAACCAAGCGATTTGGAAATTAAATGCACGACCGAGACGAGGCCATAAATTGATGCCAAACTATATGGGCCATATATGGGCCAGGGCACTTATGTCCGGTTTTCATGAGCGGAATTTATGGGTGGCATGCCTCGGATTCCAGGCATGGATTTTCGAACCGAATTAATTGCAAAATTAGCGTCAGTGTCTTAGTCTCGATTGTTCTAGTTGTATTGATTCACTTTCCATGCTACATGGGGATTATCTTGTGTATTACAAAGAGATATACAGGGAGAACAATAATATTTTAAAATATATATAATAATAGATCATCTATATTCAGTAGTATGTATGTATCCTGTCACGGTCGCCATAAGTTTTATAGAATTTTCAATGGGAGCTATCTTTAATCCCTAGAGTTCCTGAAACATTTTTCCTTAGTGCACTACCTTCTTGGCCATTGTTTAAATAATTAAACAGCACACCAGACGAGGCCTGGCCCACGCCCACAATCAAAGTGATTTTGGCGCACATTAATAGTCCTGGTAGTCCTGGTCCGGGTGGAGAATCCAGTAGAAATGAGAAGCTGTAGACATTGCGGTTTCGGATTAAGGGGGGACGGAAGGCGTTCGGATCGACCTAATTTGTTTGTGTTTGTGTTTGAATTTAAATGTGCCGTATATACGCATTACGTATACGCCGTGTTGTGCGCCGGCTTCCCACATCAAAGTGTGTGCGTGTAATTATGTGATTAGTTTTGCAAGGATACCCCCATGCACCTCATCCCATGCCTCCGACGAGGGAGATAATTGTTTATTTAATTGGATTGAGCTGATTGCTGGGCGTGCGCAGAGCGTTAAGCGTTTTAATACCATTCAGGTGGGCTACAATGAAATAGGGTCCAACCTGCCATATCACTAATGGAGAGAAAAAAGAAAGCAGGTGCCAAGGTGGTTAAGTTGAGGGCACTTACATATTTTATTTGCGAAAAACACCAGCCAAGAGCTGAATAAAAAGCAAACAATCACAGTTCCTGGAAGTGGTAACCAGAGTCAAGTGAAGAGCAAACACAAAAAGGCTTCTTTGAGTCCTTTGATCAGCCACTTAATGCAGCCACTGTCGCTTTCTTTTCACTTTCTTTTCACTTTCAGTCTCACTCCCCAAACCGCCCATATTCCACCGTTTGCATGCATAATTTCGTCCTCGTCAGGTGTAAAAATATGCAGGCTCTACACTTTGATGAAATATGCAACTTAAATAAGGCGGCGTTGGCGGAAATAAAAACGAAATGCGATTTGCATAATCCGCCCGGCCCCCGTCCTGCCCATTTAAGCTAATAGTTTCCGCCAACGCTGCTCCGGACAATTGAAGCATCAAACGGGATTGGAGCCGGAATCAAACGGAATCGAGCATTCCCATCCGGATATATATTTTATTGTTGCGCTTAATTGAATTGCGATTGGCAGGTCCACCTGTGATTCAAGTGGATAGAGGATACTCACCAATATTATGCACGATATGCCAAACGGATATGCCCACAAAGTATCCGGCGATGAATTAACATAAACGATGAAGAATCCGTCGCTGAGCAGCTTGGCCAGGAGCAGGACACCAGCTCGGTAGAGCAATCCAAATCTGTGGCAGAAACAGAGCAAAGTGAATAGGATGACTTTGTAGATTGTTTTGTTTCGTTTTTGGGTTTTATTTTTCAGATTAGCAGACAGACAAGAAAATGGAAATTCTCCTTCAAAAATAAAAAAAAGGAGTGGTGTAGAGTCATTAAAATACGAGTATTTCCTTTTTGGTCTTATCTTGGGGGCTGTTTCCATTTTCTTCCGTTTGAGCCAATCCCCGGGCCGTTTTCAACTTACCGCCGGCGCAAAGCCAGATTGAATTTATCCAACGGATGCGTATGCACATTGCGATTCTTGTGCCACAACCACAAAAGTTTCTTCATTAAAATGGCAAACAGGGCAAAGAAGAGCAGGATAAAGAGCAAATCGATGCAGACGAACAGGACGAAGCTCAAAGAAGGCGACATTGCTGTTGAAGGCCCTCCTCCGATTCTGTTCAAGTCACTCAAGCCGGAAGTTAGAGGCGCAGCTATCGCAGAAACTGAAGCGGAAGTGGAGCTGGAGGAGGTGCCACTACCGCCGCTCCAAGCTACTCCTGGCAACTGCTTCTCCGACTGCGACCAAAAGCTGTCACTGCTCCCGCCACTGATTGATGACGTTGATGTGGACGCCGCATCGAAGAATGTCTCCGTGGGCGGTGGGACCGTTCCATTTCCCATCTCGAGCAGTAAATTATCGCCATTGAGTAACGAGTGCGTTGAATAGAAGACGCCATCGAACTCGCCGGCCTCCGCATCCGTTCTGCCATCGTTGGGGATCTCCACTTCCCCATCGCCGCCGGCGCCCGTAGCGAGGACCTCCAGCCACCAGTGGCGTGGCCACTTGCCGATGATGCTGCAGATTAGTGGGGCGGCCACCGCGAAGAGCAGGGGCAGCAGCCAGCTGATGCCGATGGCGCCGCGGATTCCAGCCGATCCGGTTGGCAGGGCGGATGGTTTGCAGGAGGACTTGGAGGAGGAACCGTTGGATGGTGGTGGGCGGCGCTGGTGGTGCCCCGAGGACGAGCTGGGCGACTGAGCCCGTATCTGTGTGATATTGCTAAGACTCTCGAGTTCGCGGTCACGTTCCCGCTCCCGCTCTCGTTGGCGCTTCTTCGTGGGCGTCTCCGGCTGGCTGCCAATTTGCAGATACTTCTTCGGCACCAGCTCCGTGTGGATGGCCAAGGCAATCGCAATCAGGGTCGAGATGCCCAGCAACAGCAGCGACGCCAGGGAGCTGCTAATGATGGCGTGCCAGTTCTGGAAAGAGGAAATTATGAACGGCTGTTAATAAGGAAATGGAGTGGCCGAAGAGGAGGACTCTTGCAGGAGGAGTGCTTTGACGGCTCGCCTGCAACATCGTTATTTTTAATTAAATATAAAAAGTTGTCATCGTGCCGCATCAGCAGTGGCAGCAGTAGCCACAGCAGCATCAACATGGCCACTAAACCAAGCCATTTGGAGGGATTTTTTTTTGGAGCATCCCTAATGGTGACATTTTGGCATAAATTTTTTATTACACCGGACATTTGTTGTTAAAAAGTTGTAAACAATTTGCGCAACATAATAATATTTCTAATAGATATTTTTTATGGCAAATTAGAGCTCTGCCAGAGGTCTTCAATTCATTGGCCAAATCTTGAATTAAAGACAAAAGAAAGTTCATCATTCATCATGCTAAGTGGGGAAGGGGGAGGCAGGAAAAAAAGATGGAGTGTGAGGTAAACATTTTGTCAACTTTTTAATTTTCAATTTAACAATACGAGAACATATACCACACGAAAAAATTATGAGTTAAGTGCGCTTAAAAGCTTTCGCCTTTCACATGTTCAGCTGCAGTGACACGGCGCGCCTGCCTTGAGGGCGTGGGCTCACGAGTCGTATGCGTAATTTATGTTTTCTTATTTATTTATTGTTTTTTTCTCATTCCCTGCTTATTTTTTTTTTTTTTTGGGCTGTCGCGCTGAAATTGTATTTTATTTATGCACGAAAATATATGCAATAAGTAAAATGAATATTTTAATTGTATTTATTGTGGCATTGCGTGGGCGTTGGCGTGGTCTGGTTGCTGCGGTTGACGGCCGTCGCCGCTGGCAGAAGCTTCTTGCTCCTGGCTGCTCGGCCGAGATCCTGGCCCTGCTCCTGATACAGCTGCTCTGACACGTGTTCCAAGCCATTAAATTTGCATGTGTCGTGTGTTTGCTGTGCGGTGCTTTTTAATAAAGTTGCCCTGCCCGCGTGTGTGCGCAATTAATGTGCAATAATAATAACAATAATAACAACAATAAGGACAATAAGTTTGTGTGTGTGTCGCGTTATGTTATTAAGACAAAGTTTCCCTTTGGCGGAATATTTATATTTTTTTTTCGCAGTGAAATGCGCATTGTGCAACTCATCCGTTTCCTCGCAGGACCTTGCGTTCTCCTGCTTACGTAAGCTGCTCATTAAGCCTCTTTGGCCAGGAGCAGTGCGTGCACATTGTGCTCGACATTCCCCAGTACCTGCGGCTAGGAGCTAGCTTATTTTATTGTCCATGGCCAGAAACGTGGCTATCCTGTCGCCACAACAAGAAGTGTATATGGCGCTGTCCCCTCTAGCTTCAAACGTTTATTATTCAAAAATTCCTCCATTGCAGTCCTTTGAGACGAGGCCCGTATTGCGTGAGGCCAAAATGTCGATGCAGATAGAGGAGCACGCTCCTCCCCCTGGAAAGGATAGGGAAACGAGTGTGTGCGGATGGCTTCAGAGGCATCTTTGTGCCGAGGCGGCTGGCGTCCTTCTCGTTCGCCTTTGTCAGCTTTTTAAGGATAGTGTTGAATCGCGAATCGCCGCAGCTGTTGCACTGAGAGAAAATAATGGACGCACTTTTACATTTTAAGCTTTAGATTCTTTTAGGCTAGACTTCTTGGCTTTTAAATCATATTTTTCTAAAGAATGCCTTTTATTTTCAGTGGACTTTCCATTTATCCTGGCTTCTACCATTCCATATTGCATCCTCGCATCCTTTGCCGTATCCTTATCTGGCCATGGCTGCGTCTTTGTCGTTCCTCCTGCTGTCGTATACAATGTTTTATTTGTTTTTCATTCATTTATTGAGCCGTTCCCTCCACTGCGGACCAGTTTATTACTAATTCAAAAATGTTAATTCTTGTTAGAGCTTTGCAGTTCCTTTTTTTTTGTTGTTTTGTTTTTAATGCCGAGAGTTTCACGACCTCAAGGGATTAGACAGCAACTCGCTTATGCTGTTGATTTTTTTCTTCACATTTTATGTTTATAATTTAGACGGCTTGTGGCTGCTTTGGGGACTTCCACGGAGCCATGGCCAATAGGATTGGGAATGGGACAGGACGGGACGGGCCAGGACCGTCTGCATATAAAATTGTATCCCTTCAACGCGCTCGGGTTAGCGTCGTCTTCCCATTAACATTTTCCCACTTCAAACGTCTGAGAATGTGCGTTTATAAATATTAATTTCGATTCCAGTTTGCTCCTTGAGGCCTCCCTGGCCCCTACCCACACCTGGCCTGCTCCTACTCCTGCTCCTTGGCGTCGTCGTGCATTGTTGACTTTTAATTTCCTTCCAAGGAGGACCACGCCAACAGGTTAGGGAATTGTTTTCCATGAATTTTCCGTTTGGCTGCCACAAAAACTAAATGTAAATTATTTGCTTTGTTGTGCGAGTCCTGGCCCCAACCTCTAACAGGACCTCCTTTGGATTCCGGCGGGTATGGGATTCGTGGTTTGGTAACGTCTTCCAGACGACACGCTAATTTGTTTTGATGATGATTACAGATTTTTCCCTGGCCGTGATTATTATTTGAGAAGTCCTGACCGCCGTAGAAATTGGTTGGCAATTGCCGGGAGAACAGACAACAGACCACAAATAATTACAACTTAAGGGTTTTTTGGGCCGGCTAGTTTAAGCCAATGGGATTTCATTTTTCGGCTTTAAAGGGTCTGTGATCTGGAAAACTCATTTGGATTTCGATGGCAAGGCGCCTTCGTTCCCATTCTCGTTTTGTATTTTATTTTATGCAACACATTTTGTTATTACTTTTTCGGCGCCTTCTCTGGAGCTCCTCGGGAGGAGCTCTCCTGGTTGTGTGTTTGGTTTTGGTTTTCGGGTTGCTTTGCTTTCAGCTTGGCTTTCCATTCCCTCGTTTTGCTTGTTTATTTATTTTGGCGTAATTAAATTTCACGCTTTGGTTCCTTTTCCCCAGTTTCCGTATACCCGCCGAATGCCTTTCCTCAAAGGCTTTGTTTTTAAAGAGTCGCCCAGGACCTCAAAACTCCCGACAACTGCATTAAAGTGCCCGTTGCACTTTGCAGGATACACTTTGTAGAGATGGCTACAGAAAAATGGTATAGTATACTCACCACTGGAAGCATCTTCATAAAGCCCAGCAAGTAAATGAGCATCACACTCGACGTGGAGATGCAGAACTGCATCTTGAGGAACGTGACGGCGCACTTGCGATTGCACCAGATGGGCACCAGGATGAGGAGCGCGGATCCGCATTGGAGAAGGCAGCAGGCGCAGCTGGCGATCACGAAGATGGGACGCTGCGGGGCATGCGATGGCGTGGCCTGCAAGTGGATTGTGACCGGAGACCGAAAACAATTAGCAATTCAAACTAGTAGAGTTACCAAGGATACCAAGGTTTAAGCTGCCTTCCTTTGGAAACAAAGGACAAAAATCACTGCTACCCTTGGAAGGAAGAAGGCAATAGTCTGGGCTACAAGGGATGCAAAAATCGTGGATACTCTGAAAATAACTATTGTCCTTTCCGTAAACTATAAGCAATTAAAATTATCCTAAGACTGCAACTATTTAATCCCATAGTTTTTTAGCTCAAAAATATAAACCTTTTCCTATCCGTAGCCATGATAACGAACCCCCCGGATATATCCTTGACGTGCATCCCTGAATTAAGGTGTATCCGCTCAGAACTGAATACAGAATGCAGTACAAAGAACAAGGACGAGGGCGAGCGAATTTGGAGCAAGTTCATGGCTTCGGAGGCCAAGTTGTTGATTGCAAACAAGGGAAGCGGAAATACGGACTTTGGGGACGTTGCACAAAGAGCCCGGGCCGAAAGCCCACTCCAGGTGAGGTGGCTCCCCAGGTGGAGGCCCCTAAATGGCAGTACCTAAAAGCGCCATAAATCAAAAGGTAGCTTTCCACTTTAGTGCACGTGAATTGCATGAATTGGGCAGCTGAATACCAAAAATGGTGGACACCCGGTGGGCGGCGGAAGGATTAGAGGCTGGCTCAACGGCCTTGGCGACCTTGGTTGATGTCCCATTGGCTTACATTTTGCTGGCGCTTGGTGAGCATGACCACGTAGGTTCCGGACAGCGGGCAGATGCATCGCGTTATGTTCGCCATCAGGTGTTTGGTGATGCAGAGGTCCGAACGCCAGGTGGAGTCGAAGGAGGCCTTGTAGTCGTGCCTGTACGGATCATTGGCGTTAGTGGGGCGTTAAATGATTGATTTCCACACCAGCTTACCCACAAACGGCCACCCAATCCCCGGATTTAGGGACACTTTCGTGCTGGAATATAATCTCCACATGGCCGGCTTCGAATGGCAAATCGAGGGGTTCGCGGAAATTGTCATTGGAGCGATTGGATTGAAACAGCCAGGTCTGAATGATGCGGGATGCCAGCACATAGTCCGAGTCCCTGGGGTCACTAGAAAGGATTAAAAATCAATATAGTTAAGCAAGGATTAGAAGGATTCTTAGGCCATGTTACAAATTCCAAATTATTCAGTTTTGTGTAATCTGATCTAGCTCTGCCTCATCTTTTATGTGCCATAATCAAGATTTGATAACAATTCTGTTAGCATTTCATTTCCCCCCCTCAAGGATATCCTATCCTATTCTCTCATCTTTGTATTTTTCAGTTTTCTGATGCCAGCTGCATATTTGCATTTTGTTTACTGTCGAGGAATTACACTCGCTTCTGTGGCATTTCTATTGTTGTTTCTGTTTTGGTGTTGCAGTATCTGGGGCTTCTTCTTTTGAGACGGGCTGGGATGGTAATACGCTTAAGCCAAGGAAGCCAACTTGGCACTAGAGAGGACTGAGGGTAGGGGTAGGGACAGCAGTTGGCATTACACATATTTGAGGGGCTGGGCAAACATGGCTTACAAATTATACATCGGTGGCCATAAGCCCGGACTTAGGCAGAGACAACTTTCTGGCGCATTAAAGCGTGGAATTAAACACGTGTCCTTCAGGACGACTGCAGTTGCGTTAATCCCCAACTTACCCCAGTGGAGCCATTAACAGTTCGTTTAAAATACTCCAGTTTGGCCAACTTTTTTGTAACTTTCGCCTCGCAAACTAATTAGAAAAGTGAATCTGCAATTGGTAACTAACCTGCCGCGTGTGTAGTAGGTTTTGGGCAGGAAACTCTTTAGGTTCTTGTAGGAGATGACCGAGGCGAATATCGTAGAATTGGCCATGATATGCAGCAGACGGGACGAGAGCCCAATGTCCATGTAGAGTTGATCCGAGAACAAATCCTCCCTGGAAAAGTGAAAGTGGAAAATGCATAAGCCATCGTAAATCAAGCAAATGGTGGCCGCCTGCACTTAGGGCACTTAATTAGCTAAATTAGACACTTGGAAGCCACGAGGCAGTAGGCAGGCTGGCAGGAGCAAGAGGGAAAATACCTGTCCGGAAAAGAACAAGGTCTTCTCCGTCAGCTCCTTCGTCTCCGACTCTCTCCGTCCGGGTAAGCTTCGTCCTTTCGGAGAACACCGAGATGTATTCGCAGCGCTGAACTTTTATGGCCCATTCTTCATGCTCCGACCTCGCCTGTTTTATGCATTTTTTATTTATGTTTGCTCATAAAATAAATTTTCCATTAAGAGCCCAGTTACGGAAGGAGCAGGAACTCAGGCAGGCTGAGGAAATCGTTCTCCATCGTCGTCGCATATATTAATCAAGCGGCCGTAAAATGAAGTTTACTGTTTACTTGCTTGGGAAATTTGCATTTTTCCTTTATTCGTAATTAGAAATTATTGCAGGTCTGTGGCACACCCACTCCGCCCATAGCACCACCACACAGCACACTCACCCATCAGTCTCCTGTCTGATTTCATTTAAGGACCATTTATCCTTTTTCTCTGTGAATGCAACTTACCCATAAATGCGTAAGTTAAACGGCAGCGTTTTCACAGACGTCATGTAAATGCGGAGAGAGTTGAGTCGGTCCAGGGACAGGGTGTCCTCATCGACAGTCAGAATGCTAGTGGCTCCACTGTTACTGCTCCCCCTGGCCACACCCCGGGCTGACGGCAGACTCTCGGACCCGGGTCCTGGGGAAATCTCTCCGGCATTGGCGCCTGACCCGCTGTCATCGCCCCCCTGTGCGGTCAACGTGGCTGAGCTGTCACCTGGTGATGTCTGTTGTTGCTTCTGGCTATTGCCGCTGGTGGATGTGGCCAATTGGGAGGCCGCTATGGTCTCGCGGTTGAGGGCCGCCGACTGCGTTAGCAGCTGCAGCTTTTTAATTTGCTGTTGGAAGAAATGAATCAGAAAAACCATACACAGCCTGGGTCAATATTGTTTTTAATTTTTCGTTAAAAAGATACAGATACACAGACAATGAAGTTTCAATTTTTTTTCTCGCCCATTGTGAGTGTATTAAACCATTTTTTGATTGACAAAAATTCAGAAATTCTCTTGCCAAATAACTTTAACAAAAATGATTAAAAAAATCTACTTATTTTATAAAAATATGTTGATAAACAAAGAATATATGAAATATTTTAGATAAAATAGGGAACACTGGGGATAAAGGGAATCTTTTTAAAAAATAAATACGAGGAGTTTTTATTAAAAATGCCAGGAATCTATTATTTTCTTTGTTTTTAGAATTTAAATATGTTCTTTCCACCAAAGCCACCTCAAAACTTTTAACTTTTGAAGTATTTCCTTGGTCTGTCTAAGCTGTCTTTTTATTTCTAACCCTTCCAGAAAGTTTTCGAATATGTCCTCAGTTGAATCTCAGAGATTGATTATGGAGATATGAAATCGACCACATTGTATATTTATTCAACATATGCAAGCCATGTGCCAACAATCGCATCCCATTGCGTTCGACGGGCAACTTTTGGCCGAAACCGAAGCCGAAGCCAATGCCACAAAAGGGAACTGACCCCAGACGGGCTTGCCTCCGGCCATGTAGCATATTTTTTGGGGCAGGCAACTGGGTCCCAAGCGACTGCAGGACGATGCGCAGTCAATGAACTCGGCCATAAAAATCATAAATTGTTATATTCTCGAGTGCAGTTACAAAGCCATAAACCGGGCCAATAAACAGGACTCAGAACTGCATCGGGGCCGGCAGGCAACGCACAACTCGGAGGGGTTTCGAGTTCGATTTTTTTGTGCAATTTGTAATACGAAAACCATTACAGCGGCTTTTCTGCTCCTCCTCTTGCACTTGTTTAGTTTTGTGTATCGAGATTTCGAATTTTGCGCAATTTATAATGTAAAGCTTTGGATACGGATCCTTTTTGTAAACAAAAAATGGAATGGAATGGAGGCCAAGGAGTGCCAGGAGTGCCAGGACTATTGGCATATTGGCTCGGCATATTGGCCGGCCGCTGCTACAGTTTCCTGTACAAATCAAAAGGCATTTGTATTTCAACATAAGATACAAATATACGAGAGAGTCCTGGCATAAATGTTCGGATCCAACTAATCGAAAACAAAAACAATTCCAATTGGAAAACTTTGTGTAATGGAACTTTTTTTTTTCATGTTTTAAAAAAAAAATCGGAAACTTCAGCATCATCAGAGGAGCATTAGGCTGTGTGTGGTGTGTGTGTGTATCCCAGCCACGCCCACGTTTATGACCACGCCCTCGACCCACTGCCACCTATTCAAATGTGTGGGGCATTCGTAGGATTTCTTTAAAAGGCGTTGAAAAGAAACTCTCGAAAACGAGAGAGAGAAAGGCGAAAGTAATGGATGTGGAGGTGGGTGTGGAGGAGGTTGGGGCTGGAAAAAGTTTTCCATGTGAATTCCAAAATTTCACTTGACTTTCGACCTAGCCACGTTTAGTGCTCACCGCTTACCGGCAAATCACTTGGCCGCCCGCCCCCCGACTAAACCTCTATCATTTGGGGCGTGGCCGTTGGCAGGACATGTGTGTGTGTGTGTCGGAAACTTTTTTGGCCAAGTTAAGCCTGCGACTGGGGGTCACGTTCTCGGCGAATACTTTTTTGGCTAAGTGATTCGTCGTGATTTGATTTGAATCCAAAGAGTCAAGCCCCCTTTCGCCTTGTTGTGCACTGAGATAAAAACTTTTGACCCTGCCGCAATTGGAACTGGCCGAAATATCGGAAAGTGGGTCAGTAAACTTTGTTTGCCATTCGGTCGGCCCCAGTTCAGTCGGTCAATACGAACTTATGCAAATCTAAGCTTCCATTCCGTACTTGTCCTCGCACAAGTGTTTTAATCAACTTTTCGCTAGAAATTTTGGCATTTTGTCGGAAAATGCCAAATGGAAAATGGCATTAAAAAATGAGCAGTTTCCAACCACAAAAACTTTTCCAATTGCCATTTCCACAAGCCGCAAATGGAGGGCACTCCCGATCACAGTGACATCCAGATTGGTTTTTTAGCAAATAAAAATATTGGTCCAATCGGAATTATTATAATCTATCCGCCGATTGATGGGGCTTAGTGGTACACGCCCTCAGATTAAAAGTACTCTCACATATGTGCTTTTCGGCCAATATTGGCAATTTATTGGCGAAACTGTTTGAATTAAGTGACTTTGGTTAGTGAGTGGGTTTCAGTTTTCGGGTGTGGAGTGCCCTGATTACTGGCAGCTCAACTTTAAAACTTTTCAATTCTCCTTGGAGCGGATCGAGTGGCGTTAACGTTTATGGCCTTGGCCGTTGGCTTACGGTTGATTACTTCGCAGGACTTGCAGGACCCGGCGATGCACTAATTAAACTTGATTGCGCGCAAAAAATTCGATAAACTTGCAGGGCGATTCGGCTCACTCCATTAAACTTTCCGTTGAGTCAATAAAAACGATGCGAACTATTTGTTCAACTTCGGGCTAAAGTTCGGAATAGCGAATGCCAACACTTTTTAATCGACCCAATTATACTGGCAAGTTTTTCAGGCTGCGTCAGCTAATAAAAATTTAACATAAATTGTTCACTTTCCTGGGCCCAGGATCTCGGGCCCTACATGGCGGGGAATGATTATTGAAATGCCATAACTCAGCCGAACTTCCGCTAAACTAAATTAATTTGAGCGTATTAAAAAGTTTTCTCCGGGCTCGTCTTGCTAACTCGCCCACAACTATGTCCTGCGAGTCCTGAGGCGGAAAAATCCAAAGAGTGAACAGAAATCTTGTTTAGTTTTCGCACGCGCCCCGGATCGTAAAAGATGAATATTAAAGCCACTGCCTCAGCCACTTGGCTAATAGATTATGCTGCTGGTGTCCAAAAGCCAACAGAGTCCGCGGAAGGCAGCATTCCAATTATCCTCACTTCTTGACAGGTCCTGGCAGAAGGGCAGGAGCCTTGGCTGGATCTTCCAACCATATTCAAACAGTTGCAATCAACACTCTCATAAATTTGCATACCAAAACTCAGGCCTTATCCTGTCCTCTTACTTTAACGCCGGGCACAAAATTTACCCACGGAATAATACATGAGACGCGGAGTGTCTCCTTGGTGGGTTGGTCCTGGAAATCCTCACTTGAGCCGGAAACAATGGTGGGGAGCCACCGACAGTCGACAGAAACGCCTCATAAAGAAACGCACTTTTCACACAAAGCCGTTTCACGGCCATTTGAAATGGCCCGAAAGCGTCTGCCTTTTTTGGCCAGGTGATAAGGAAGTGGTTATCCTTATGGCGACAAAGGGGGTGGGTGCGAGTAAATTGTTTGATTGCCCCTCATTAGGATCACCCCACCAGGCTTCACTGGCTCTGAATTAGTTCGGTAAGAGGTCCTCCTCTCTATTATCCCTTCTGCCAAATATAGCGTAAATAGGCTTTTAAATAGCACCTCGACTCAGACTCCGGCTGGGAGGATGTTTTTTTGGTTTTTAATCTGTAAGAGGCTTAACCAATTATCACTGCAGTAAAATCAGCTCCTCGAGGCCGAGAGCACGAGTCCCATAACTCACCTGGCAGCTCACAATCAGGATTGGGCCACAGAAACCGCACAGACAAGACCGAAACCCGAAACCCGAATGCCAAAAAATTCCCAGGACTCATGCATATCGAAGGAGGTATTCATTACCAGCCAGCAGGCACATCAATTCTCCGGCTGTTTTGGAAATCCGAACACGGATTGTGTAGACAAATGTTCCACCTATGTAAATTGCACCGCCCAGTGACAAGCTAAATAAAAGCGGCAGTGCCCTGCTTTTTCGGGTGAATATTCGAAAATGCCCACCTATTGCCCCATGCTCCGCCCAGACAAGGACTCTCTATGTTCTCGGTGTAATAAATCGCAGGCTGGGTCGGAAACCATTCTGGCAAATATTGAATATGGCTGCAGGTTATAAATTATGGCACCCAAACGCTCGACTGCCTCTCCATATGGGGAGTACATACACTTGTCGTAATTTATGCGCAATTGCAGTCCTGGATCCCGGCTCCAGGCATCCAGCTTTCAGAATCCCCGAATCCCTATTTCCCACTTACCTGTTGACTGTTCAAGGATTGAGCATTCTGCATGACTTTATCCAGGATGCGCAGTATTATCTCCGCGGCCATCTCGCGTTCCAGTTGTGTGCCTTTCAATTGCAGGTAGGTGTCGAGCTGTGAAATGGCCAAGGAAACAGAGAGTTGCGTTGAGACAACATAATACAAAGTCTTCTTTCCCCAAGTATCCTCCAAAAAAAAAAGTGTAAGGACGAAACAGGAGCAGGACCAAGAGCCTTAACTTCCTTCACCTTTAGCCACACCTCTCCCTACACCCTCGGCAATGGCAATTCGTTAGCTGGGAAATTTGTGTGCGCATTAAAATGAAAAATTGTTGCTAGGCGACCCCAAAGCCGAAGGATACTTTCCCGGGCAGCCCAACTTTTCTTTGACTGCAGTTCTCGGGCAACCGAAAATTGTGTGAAAAATGGCAAGCCGCCCGTCTGGAGTACGGAGGAGCACCAGCTTTTGCATTCATTTGCGTGTAAAAATAGTTGCTCTGCCTGCTCAAGTGCCTGGTTTTTGGCATTCAGGTGGAGCTCAAACGTGTTAAGGGTTTTGCGGCAAAAGGACGACGGACAAAACGGTTCGCAACATACTTCTGAATCTGTCTGGCAGTGTCCTGTGGCAACACAGGATATTATGCCGTAAGGGGAATCGCAATTCCGATTTTGATTAGGCCAATTTAACCAAATCTGTCACATTACAGGAATGGAATGGTATTTCTGTCCTCCCTTGACGGCTTTTACTTTAATGCCTTGGTCGGGTTGGATTGTAATTTTCACTGGAACTTGGTCCAGTAGGCTTTATAGTGGCTTTTATATAAAATTCTGGTAATTGATGATGAGATCTTTTCAAACTCTTGGGGTTTCTTTTTGGTTTCAATCAGTTTTATCTTCTTAAACAGTTGAAGTATTCTTGGTTTAGGAAGCCTATTCTGTTTTTGATTTTCCATTAAAAATGTTAAGGAATTAATCCTAAAAAGCCTTTCTTTTTTTTAAATATTTACAGTTTTAATATAATTAAGAGCCAAATACCTTGAGTTACATAAATTAAACCCAAGAACCATCCCAATAATTAGCTCTAACAGTTTCCTAGGTTATAATATCCTACAAACCCCCTTACCTCATGAAGCATATCGATGAGGAAGCTAGCTTCTCCGGGCAGGAAGCTATGCCTGCGCTGGAGAGTAAAGTCGAAGCAGGACTTGAGGATGTTGGAGGAGTTGGTCTGTTGAAACCCGGCACTCAGCGCCAGGAACCGGTTGTAGATGAGCAGAAGCTCATCGCGGACACATCCCGAGAAGTCAGGCAGTAGCCAGCTAGAATTTCCCGTGTCCCGCTGCTCACAGATCCTCCGCAGGTGTCCCTCAAAGCCACGCGGACAGTCGGTGATAATGGGTGCTCCCGGAGCACTGGTTGGCCAGTGTACTCCGTAGGTGGACTCGGCGGGGCACACATGCATGGCATTCCGTTCGATCACGTTGATGTAGACACTTCGGGAGACGGGACGGACGCTGTTGGAGACCAGGCAGGCGTACTCCGCCGACTTCTGGATGTTGTTGATCTTGAGGATACTGCCGTCCGGGTAGAGGTCCTCCCACATGGCAGTGGCCGGGTCTGATTGGAAAAGCACCCCGTTCCGCGTCCAACTGTAGCCCAGCTGAGCGTATCTCTTGATGTCATCGTTGCCAGGCGAGAGGCAGCGGACCCGGAGGGAGTCTCCGCGTTGCAGCGTCACGCTCGCGGGATCCACTCGGAGACGGGGTGGCGACTTGATGTGGATGTGGAGGGAGCGGCACTGCTCCACGCCCCAGTCAGTGACCTGTTGGGTAACAGGAAAGGAATTGGTGGTTAGTTAGGTTTGCCAAGCGAGTCAAAGGACTCGTGTCACAATGGCTGCGGTTTGATATTTCAAACATCAAACAACCCGGAAAGGCCATTATATTTAGTTGTGGTTATTGTGAGTAAGGAAGCAAGAACGAAGTGTATCTTGTACAAAAAAAAAAAAAACAAAAACACTTTTAATTAAGACCATAATTAGTTGATTAAAGTTACCTAAATATTTTAAAGAGTTAAAACAGACAACATAGTATTATATTCCTAACTAAATGCTTAGCCTGTATAGCTAATTATAATAATTATTTTAAAGCACAACACTACCTTTTGTTAGAAACAGAAACTAAAAGGCAAGCAAGAATGTTCTCTTCAATTTAATTATTCATTTCCAGTTCTCCTCAAGTCATGCAAGACATCATTTGGCCTAATAATTGGTCCCCAGCTGTACGTGCCTTGATATCCTTGCATATTTGTGTATAAACTAGAAGCCCCAGGACTGGGGAAAACACCGACACAGCCTTGTCTGAGAACCGAACACACATCCTGATGGTCAGACACTATGCTCAGTGTCCTTTTCAATCACATTGGTCGGAGGGAAAGGCCACAATTGTTGCCATGTCTGTCAATGTCATCGCCTCCGTACCGTAGGATTTGTTTAATAGACTTATTTGCTAGCTAGTCAGACTTCATTGTGTGCTGATTGGATATGACAGGCCAGGATTTGCTGGACTGGCCCCCTTGGCTCTAAGCGAATATGATATGCACTCGTACATCAAAGGCCAAATCCTATTTGGTATCTCAGGCTCCGGCTCGTATTAGTTAAGGGGAATGTAATTTAAAAGCCTAACTGCCCGAACGGGATTGCAAAATCTGCATATACAACGTAATAAAATAAAATCCTGAGTATATAGTATTTGCTCAGTCACTCGAGTGGCAAGTAAGAGGTTGTCCTGTCCCGGGTCAATCCAATCCTGGCTGGCATGTCGCTCTGGCGTGAAGGACACTTAAAGTTACACATGAGGACATGAGTATTTACGGCTACTTGCCCGGCCAAGATGGGCGGCTACTTAAAGCCTTTCGGGCCCTGGGGCCTTTTGCATTTATTTCCACGCGGCTGGCAGGCAAACGAATTGTAAACTTCTGTTGTTGATCCTGTCGTGTTGTTGTTGCACATTCGCCCCCGAGGACCACAAAAGTGCTGCACTCGAAGAACCAAAACATCGAGTTAGAGCTCGAGTTAGATTGGAATTGATTTTGAAAGTATCGAGAGAAACTTAAAAATGTTAGTCCTTGTTAGTCTCTAATACTTTTGCATACTTTTCAAAAATGTGGTATGTGAATGGAATGTGCATGTCCTGGCCAATAAAATGCCATTTTGTTAGTGTACTGGCTGTGGGACTCGTGGAGAAAATCATAGACATTGCGACACTGCCGACAACCATGTCGATGATGATGATGCTGGAAATGGGCGGGAGGACACAATGCGGCTTCGCCTCCTTACTCCGCCAGCTGCTCAGGAAACTTCCGTTTCAAATTCGAAAAAAAAGAAACAGAAAAATAAAAATGATACAACTAACGAGATGGGAGTTAGTGTGGAATGAGCCACCTCAGCGCCGTCATTGTCGCCAGGACGAAGGTATCGCACTTGTCTGGATGCGCCTGTCTGCAGCATCCTTGTTGTCTGATATCTCTGGGCCCCCCAAAGGCACTTGGCCCCAGCCGATCCGGAAATATTTAATAGACAGCAAAACACTCTAAAAATGTAAGCCGGTTAAGGTTAGGGGATATCTGGTTTTTATGGCATTGCGGCTTTAAATTTTTTTTCTCTTTGTGTTTTGTTGCCGGATTGTGGAGATGTTCGTGGCTTTGCAGAGTCATTTACGACTCTGCATCGTCGACAAATCTTTGCCGGCCACAAAATCCAAATGCCAATTAACTCATTAAGCTGCGACGTTGTTGGACTGCAAAACTTTGCCACTGCCACTGCCACTGTGTGTGGGAGGCGAGTGTTTTTATGGCCAAATGGTATTTTATTGGCCCCGGATAAGTCGCGTCTCATTAACAGGCCAAGTCGTTAAACCGAACACTGAAAAAGCTAAGCATTTGGCCAGGACCCAGGACCCTGGTACTTGTACGATTTGTGGCCCATCAATGGACAATGCTCGGATGAAATTAATAGTTCATAAAAATGGTTATTCTCGAGGCAACAGTATTTATTTGGCTAATGGATATTGGGCATTTGGAGGATGTAGTCCAGAATAAAATTAAAAGTACAAACTAAGAGTTACGTGCTCTGCTTAAACCTGAATGTCTTAAGGAGCGCCACTTCCCAATGCAGGCAGCTTAAGGACATCATTGTGCACGTAATGGACCCGGGCGGCCGTGGGTCCCCAAGGCAAATGAATTAATTGCAACAAGGCGTATACTTAATATCAATACATAAATAATAAATGCGCAAAGCACACGCCCCTCATTAGAAATGTGCGAGTGTGTCGGGATGTGTATTGGCAAGTTATGGACACGCAGGACATGCAGTCTGGAGGGACGCATAATGGCAGGCAGTCTTTATTGACTTGGTCCTTGAGGCAGTGTTATTGAAAAGGATTTCTGCTCTCGAGTTTTCAGCAAACAGCTGCGAGACGTGGGCACAATCGACCTTCAGGGACCAGGCACAAAGCTCAGAGCTCCCGCCCAGTTCCGTCCAGCCTTCCTGATTATCGTTCAGTTGTTGCAGCTGCTAAGCGTTTTCCCACAACTCCCCCACCCTCTCGCCCACACGCCCCTGCTGGCCATGTCCTGCTTTCCTGGCTTCCTGCCTTTGATCTGGCTGCGTCATTACGGGGTAGTAGTACCGAGCGACAATAATAAGTGAGCGAGCGGCAAGCGGCGTGAGGCTCACGGCGCACCAAAGGCACAAAGCTGAAAAGAAACTGGAAGCTGCCGGCAGCTCCCCCATAAAAAACTTAACGAAATCCCCTCGGAGAGTCAGAACCACTAAATACAATGGTCCCCCCAAGAAAAGCCAGCTGGCTGGTGCAACAGATGCTGCCGCGGTTGCTTTTTGTTGAATGCAGAATTAAAGTGTTGAGGCGTTTGCCTTTAATCTAGATTCTAGAGTCTAGACCAATGCCACAATGAAGTCCTTTCCGAAAGGCAACCACCTAACCCCCCAACCCTTAAACCCCCAAAAACCATTATGTTAATGTCAAAGTTCAATTGAGTTTGCAACAATTTGGGAATTTGATTTATAAGCAGCAAACGTAAACATTTTATTACAATCTACCGTGGCCAGGCAATCGAATTACCATTTGATTTATAAGCAACTACCCATCGTCAGAAAGATACCGGCACCGGCAAGTAAATACCCATGTGTCCACGTACATTGTGGGCCAACTTTCTCGGCCAGGCATTGGCCCCAAACCTGGAAAACTTTTCACGTGTAAGGGAATGGTAGTCTTTATGCCGGGCCAATATTTTTTACAAGCCATTTGCGTAATATGTTATTACCTAAGCCATAAAGAAAGGACCTACAGGATTTTCCGGGGATGAAAGCGATTCCGGGGATGGTTAGCCGGCCAGTTTTGGGTCTAATGGCCTGTAACAATTTAAAACTCTTACTTAGAGCGGACTTTTAAGCCGTCGGAATTTGGCCCAGTTATAAAGTTCGGCCAAAAATCATCCAGAAATAAAAAAAAGTAAAAGCCCACAGTCAAAAGAATATTTAATACCGTAGATTAAAATTTAATTGGCCCCTGAGAAAAGACCATTCAAGTGCAATGCTGCCAGTGCCCACATTAAACACCATCTCCAAACTCCATACCCATCCCACTCCTTTCTATCCGACCGGTCTACCATATTTTAATTAGTCTAATTAAAAGCTACGTTATAGCGAAAATGAAGAACAGAGCCGCGAACAGAACGCACCAGAGCCAAATGTAATTATGTGGTCTTTCGGGTGGATTTTTCCAGACTGGTTTCCCACCAGAATCGTCGGAATCGTAGGGCTCTGATATGGCAATTAGACTGATTAGTCAGCTGAAAATATTACGAGGCGTCGAGAGGGTCTCTAAGTGGCTGGGCAACCGAAATTTATTAGAAACAAGAAAGGAAATATAATCTATCTTTCTGCGGGAACAGAAGCTTTTAACTTTGGGTTTTAGGAAAATGTTCGTTCCAATCGTATTGACTAAAATATATGGAACGAATCCCATCACGAAAGATGGAAAAAAAATTTTAAAAAATATTTTGTCGTAGAATTTTGATGCAGAATGGTGGAGAATCGATCCATAAATCGTTTAAGGTACTCTGCTTGAGAATCGGATGAGAATGGGGAAAGATATAGCCATCGCTGTGGACCCTATAGGGGAAAATCGCATTTTCAGGGGAAACCCCATTGGAAATCGTTTAAGATACTCCGCTTGAGAATCGGATGAAAGTTGGGAAAGATATAGCCATCGCTGTGGACCCTATAGGGGAAAATCGCATTTTCAAGGGATCCCATCATGAAAAATGGACAAAAAATCTAAAAAATATTTTGTCTCAGGATTTGGATGCAGAATGGTGGAGAATCGATGTAGAAATCGTTTAAGGTACTCCGCTTGAGAATCGGATGAGAATTGGGAAAGATATAGCCATCGCTGTGGTCCCTATAGGGGAAACCCCATTTTTAAGGGGTGAAAAGTTTAGTTTTGAAAGTTCTTAAATATATTTGAAAAAAGTATTCGGTAGTATTCATGCATTCACTCTTTATATATCTAAGAGAGCTACTATATCCATCTATTATTTTTTTGAGATCTTAAAAACTACGTATTGAATCAACATTAAAATATAATAAACACAAGGAAGTCAGCATATTAATTTAAGCTCTATGGAATTACCTTGCAACTGTAGACGCCTTCGTCGATCCGACTTGCCTTGGTTACGCCGAGTATGGCCGTATAGACATCCTTGGTCTCCGGCGGCAGGACTGTGGTCCAGATTTCCCTGAAACGCATGAGAAACGATGAAAGCATTAGTTGTTAGTCATGCTAATTAGCACTCCACTTTCGGTTTCCGCGACTACTTGAAACAGATTCGCAGTTCGCCAGTTCGCAGCCAGTCATGCATTAATTCTCACGCCCCCGGGCAGACAACTGCCATGGAACTCGAATTGGAATCCGAGCCCAAACCGGGGACCAAGTGAACTGGATCATATGCAGCCAGTTGCTAATTGACACACTAATAGCAGCTCACTTATCATCCCCAGCTCCACTCCCACCTCCAGCCCCATCTCCAGCCACCACTCTGCTCCACTCGTAAATCCTGAACGAAAGAAATCATAGCTAATGTGGAAACAATCGCGGATGCTGCGGTTCGAAGTCAATTAGCAGGAACATGTTTCATTTTCAAATGCAGTGCATTGTTGCTAAAATTGTTAATAGTTTTTGGTTTTGTGGATAAATAGGTCGGCGACTGTGTGGAAAATTTAGACTGTCTGTGTTTCTGGTTCGGATTTATGTGGTTCGTGTGGGGAGACGTGGTCTCCTGGGATAAGAATCAATCAGGATATATGATATCCACCTGTAATTTGATGACTAAAACTGTATTAGTCTTTGGTTAACGATGTGGAATTCTATAATTTTTGTTGAATTCATACATCTTCATATATAATAATCCTTCTTTCGTCGTTGACGGCTCAAGTGAAAGTTGCGAAATCTGAAAACTGTCTAAAATGCAGGCCTAAGCCTATTAGCCCAGCTCTCGCTCTGCCTCATAATCCGCCGGGGAGCTCAGAACTAACAGCTTGCACCTGCACTAAGTAAAGCAAACCGAATGCCAAAAACCAAAACCTTCCATCCGGCAACAACTTAAGTGCTGTTTGAGGTTTTCGTGGCCAACAAACATCTGCAGTTTGCCGCTGGTTTCTCTCTCTCTACTTTTCCCGCCGTGGCGGCGGGTGAGTGCATTTCACTAATAACTTTTACGCATGGATAACGCTGACGTCACTGCCACAACAACACCAACAAACCGAACCATGAAGAGAGCTGAGGGTCCTCTAAAAAGTGCCCAAAAACCGCACCGCACAGCAAAAGTGCGGTGAGTTCTGCCTTAACCGCAGAATCCAGGTGCCCCCCCTCCAATTTCTTCCTGTTCCCCGTGTCATTCCCAGTCCGTATACTCTCAAGCTATTTACAGGTGTAGCACAGGTCTAAAAATGCGTTTTGAATGGCTCGGGGTTTTGGGCCTTTTGCTGGGCTTTCGCATGCAAAGCACTTAACCTACAATTTACTAATGGCCCATGGCGGAAGAAGGACTCACCTACTTAGGACGCACCCACCAACCTGCTGTTATGTCTCTATATTGGTTCATCTCCCTGTTCTCCGGCGAATACGCACCTTCAAAATCAATTAAAAGGCAACGGAAGTAATAACATTCCCTGCAGGAAGTGCGTAACGGTTAAATGCAGCAGAAGCAGGACGAGAACCCACTAAAGAAAAATAGGCCTCACATCCTTTGTTATATATTTAAGTTTTAATTAGTTTAATCATTTTCTCAGATTTAAGGCATATAATATGAAGAACTATTGAGAAACTTAACCATTTTTTAATTAAAGTTAATTAGCAAATATACTTGATTTTTTCCAGTGCACTCCTGGCAATATCAAAAGCCCGGGACTAACTACTTCGTCGCCGATTTGCAAACAACAACCGCAAAACAGCAAAGCGACGATGCGCTCGTTTACAGCAAATGAGCGGAGGCAGGATTGACATCAACCATGGCACAATGGCAATGGCCTCCAGGAAGCTGACTAAGCCGCAGTTACTCCACTAATGCCACTGCAATGCTTCCAGCCCTCGGCGCCGATGCCCCGGGCACAGTCACATGGCTGGGGGCAAGGAACGGGTCAAAGATTAGGCGATGCAGGCGAACGCGACCCCAAACTATTGAGTCTCAGCGATGCGGTCGTGCCGGTCAAAAGGAGCCGGAGGATGTTTATTGGTGGCTATCTAATATCGGTTCGAAACAAATGAACATTATTCGTTTTGGATCGTTGCTTGATGTTGCAATCCCATTCGATGTGCTTCATGGTATGTGCTTCTTTTTAATACACTTTCAAATAAAGTGTGTCTGCTTTTCAGGAGTTTTTCTTAGTTGGCCTTAGTAATGGTATTATAGGGTCATCCTCGTTAAAGTTTTGGTATTTTAAAGCTTTAATCTTTTACTAAAAATTAACTGGGAAAATAATCTAGTTACTATAAGATTATATTATTATAAAAGCTTTAAGCCCCCTTTGAACCACTGGACCCTTGGGAGGCAAGGAAACCAAAATTTAAAAAATGGCTGTATGGTTTCTTGCTTTCTAAAACATGATCACAGTCTAGCAAGACTTTATTAGAGTATTTGCATCTTTGACCCTTTAGGCCCCTGGTGTTTTCTTGGTAATGATGCATTTTCCAAATGCGATTGCCCTCACGTAACCATCTCCATTTACAGCGAACGACTGCTGCTCCTGACACTAAATGTTTCGTTCTGATGCGATTCTCGATGCGGTTGCAAAATGCATTTACCGCATCGAGAATACCCACTGCCGCAAATACCCACTGCAATCCTTGTTTCCCTGGATCCCTGGATCCCAGGACCCTTTGGACCCCAGGATTCCAGGGACTGCACGCACTTCAAATGGCCCGCAAAATGCCTTTGTGTAGGCGTACGTGGATGGATATTCAGCCCAGCCATGCACTGCACGCACTCACATCCTGTAAATACAGGACTGCAGCTTAACAATTTTTGAAGGATGTGCGAGGGGGCAGCGAGGGTAGAGGAAGTTGCTGATGGGGAATCCAAATCTGCGCTCCATTTGAGATGGTGTACTTTGGTTGCTGGTCAAAAACAACTCATAACAACTCATTGGCTGTAAACTTGAATGGAGCAATTACCTCGCGATTGAAGGGACTGGCTTATGGCGTTAGCCCAGTCTTGTGAAAGACTGTGATTTTGGTGGCAAGAGATGGCAATATAGTCAGTTTATGGATAAATCATCATCAAATAATTGTAAAGATTTATTGTTTACAATAAAAGTATAAATAATCTGTGTAATTATTTATAAAAACAATAAAAGGATTGTCCCTTTGAATAATAAAATTAATGGCAAAACCCATTTGAAAGAAATAAAATATTACGTATACGTATTATACTAGAATAAAGACTGAGGAAGAATTGATTAGAATTCCCTTCCAAATAAAACATTTAAATTACGAAACCTTGCACAATAAACTTCTAATTGCCCTTTTTGGCTAATTTTCCCTGGAATAGGTCGTTGGCATCACTATTACAGAAATCGAGAATCAATAGAGAGTGGGTGGGGTGAGCCAAACGCCATTAGACCCTAGAGCCCCTCAACTTTTCCGCTTAGAAAGCGTCTGATGTCACATCAATTTGCGTAATTAGGTGTCGCGGCCTTCGCACAATTTCCCGCTCATAAGTTGACGACCCCGGGGGTCGAGTTCCATTGGAATTCATTGAAGCTATTGAAAAGTTTGCTGAAAAACATTCAATCGCCGCCACAATGGGCCAAAACGCCATAAAAAATTAGTTGTGAGTCGCATAACGATTTCTGTTCAGAGTATATATATATGTGGCAGTCGAAACATAAAACAACAATGAAAATGGCCCGCAGCTCGATGTTCAATGTTTTTCCTGGGGTTTTTTTCGAACGGAAGAGGTGCATATGGGTTTTTTTATGGGCGTGCCTGTGGGGCAGTTCTTTGAAAAGCAAAACGATATATATCTGTATCCCATATATACGAATGTATATATAAAATACGATTCCATCGGAGTGTTTTATGAGTTCATAAAATTGGTGTGTAGGTGTTTATTATCGTTGTATTATTTTGGTTTTGGTCTCTCCGTCACCCGAAAGCATGGGAAATTGAAATTGTGAAGTTACTTTTCTGCTGAATATTTTATCGCCGTTGTCTCCGCCTCCACACTCGTAAATATGAATATCCCTGGGCGCGACATTGGCCAGGACAATATCTTAAAGCTGCAGGCCTTATTCCCGCAGCCGTAACTTGATTAGAAATAAGGGAGTCCGCCGTCCTCTCGCATTGAAGGACTCAGGCCATATAAAAACTTTATTAAACGCAACTACGCATAAAAACAAAACGATGACAGAGTACGCGACCTCGTCGTCCTCGTTGTCGATGCTGTAGCTCTGCTGCGGCCTGCAACAATTCACTTCAAGATGTAACAAATTTCATTACAATCGTAACAAGAAAACGTGTCTCAACAGCTAAATTGCAAGGGACGAACGGGACCAAATCAAATCCCGAGAACCCGGCTCGCCCACAATCCCACAATTCCGTCGAAGGCCCGCAAGGTCTGATTGGGCCTGATTGTTACGTCAATGGCCAGAAGCTCTGGATTTTAAGTCTACGGTTTTTTTTTCGAAAAATCTGTTGCATTTGAAGAGTGCCCTTTGACTTGCTGCACTTTTATTCCAGTTAAGGGTCAAGTATTTTTAATTATAGGGCTATGTATATTTTAACTCTGGCTCCTACTATATGCAAAGAAGGTTCTCAACTATTTCGACTGTTGCCCTTCTTCCGGAAGGTACACCCACATATTGTTATTTCCCCTTTGGCTTTTTGCAGCAAAACCATTTTTTTTTCTTTGCCCTGCCATCCTTATTTTCTTCTTAAGGTCGATAAACAAACTACATACATATGTCTGTATCTGTATCTGTATCTTTTTCTGTTTCTGTTACTGTAGCTTGTATCTTTTGCCTTTATTTTGCTGACGAGCTGGGTTTCCTTTTTGTCATTTTATGGGCCATGTGCCCGAGGATGGGAGAAAAAAATGGAGAAATGTGGATGGAGAAAATACACAAGGTGTTAGTGAATTTTATTCAAATTTGACGCTAATCAAAAGCTGCGTGACAGGAAAGTTAAAAGCGGTTAGAAATCCAATTCGCTCGGGATTTGTAGTAGAGCCCGGTTTATTCC